GCATCTCAATGTACATCACAAACAACTCGAAATGGCCCCCATGGTGACCTGATGGAAGCCTGAGCCCTTGTTAGGAGCTGTGGAGAGAGGTGAGGGGCGGCCACCCAGCCTGCTGTCTCTCCCAGGCCCTCCCCGCAGCTCAGCTGGTTGAGGCTGAAACGGGTGAGTCCCTCCCAGGCACGCTCCCCAGGACCATCTGTGGGCACCTTTGCCTAGAGGCCTCTGGTTGACTGGCCTTCCTCTTGCCTGGAGCTTCTGTCTTCCCCAAAGTTCACCCATCCATTCTTGATCGGTTTTCAATGATGACGAGACCCGGGACCCTAGAAACTGTCCCAGGAAGGTGACGTAGAGGCCAGGTCTACAGGTCGTGCAGCAGCAGGGTGGGTGCACCTGGCATCCACCAAGAACAGCCCTGCCCATCCTGCAGCTCAGAGTGGCCTGAACTTGCCGCTACCACTGCCATGTCACGGTCCTCTGAGAGCCTCCAAGGCTGCCATCTCTGCTGTCAAAGTCAGGTTGGCATTAATCTCCATATGGACTTATGTGTCATCACACACCCTACGCTTTCTGCAGCTCCTCATCCCCTTTCCCAGCCAGATGGAGACACATCTTTTACCAGCGCCCTCGGGATACATGTCTGGTTATTTGATAGTGGGCCATACAGCCTGGATTTGGAGCTTTTTATAAACTCACGTTCAACGGCCACTTCTTGCCTGTATTCCAGACTCAGGCCTCGGTCTAAAATTCCCTGCACTTTTGAAACAGCTCAAGAAATCCCATACCACTGATGTGTCCTGTTGCAAAAACACAATCCAGTTTTAAAGCCATGATGCCCCATGTAAGGCCACACGGTGGCGCTCTTGCCCCTGTGTTCCTTGGGCAATGACTGCCTGTTCCCTCTTCAATAATAATACTCCTGCTGTGAGCACTCCTGCTTAGTGCTTCTACATCTGTGAGGATTATACTAAAATTATACCATAATTGGCCAGGGCACGAGGCGCTGATGGCTGAGGCCAGTTCAGATCAGTTTGTTGCCCCCTCCCAGTTTTTCCTTGAGCTCTGCACTGCTTCCTGAGCTCCTGGTGACAGGCTTTTTGCCGGCTTAAAGCGTCATCCCCCTCACTCCTTCAGCACTTAGTGCATCTGCCTGTGCTGAGTCCTGGGCAGGGACAGAACAGGTGCAGAGAGGCACCACTCAGCCCTGCTACTGAAGAGACACAGGCCAAGGCCACCTGCCTCTCCCTCAGCCCTTCCACCAGGCACCTCACTCAGCTCCTCACCCCTTTCCCGCGCGGTCAGCCTGTGAGCGCGCGGAGATCCACTTGATTATGTGCCGGGACTTATTGATTTCTGGCTCGAGTCCTCGGGAGCTGCAGAGGCTTGTGTTTCTCTTGCAAAAACAAACAATCACACTGAGAGGTTGTGCCTCTTAATTCTGGTGGGCACAGACTGTCAATAGAGAGGGGCCCAGCGTCGGGCTCTCTCATTGGCGAGGCCAAAGCAAGTCCAGTCCCTTCCTTCTCAGGCCCTCACGGGAGCAGGAAAGCATTTCCCTCAAGGATCGGCAGTGCCACAGGGTCCATCAGGAGGGCAGGGTGGACAGGGGAGCCCCGCCAATGAAGGGAGCACTGGCTCCACGCACAGCCAGGGCAGCGTTTTCCCAGCCCTGGACCCTTTCCTGGGCCGGCCTGTCTTCTGAAACCCCATTTGTTTCATTTCTCTACACAGGAAAAACAGGCTCACTCTTGGCAACAGCGATGAGCTGGGTCAGCTGCGTGCTGGGCACAGCCGGCTCCCTTCCCCTCCGAAGGGGTCTGTCTAATGGGAGGGACAGGCGACAAGACTGCTGGGGACAAATGCTGAGGAACCCATGATGGGAAGATGGCTTATGTGGACGCCAGTTGGGAAAGCTCCACAGAGATGGTGAGGCCAAACTGGGCGGGACCATGACAAGGAGAGCCGGGCTGGAGCGGAGCCAGGTGAGGGCAGAGGGCCCAGGGAAGGCTGAGCTTCTCCCCAAGGCAGGGGGCGAGGGGTACCAGGAATCAGACCGGGGCAGGAGGAGGATGGGTTGGAAGGGGGAGGATAGGGCAGCTGGAGACAGGGGCGTGGCGGTCCAAAGGTATCTGGGAAGTGAAATGAGTTGTCTGCATGGATTGGATGGACCCAGGGCACAGAGAGGAGTCAAGATGGGGCCTTTTGGCTGAAGGATGGTGGAACCTGGGAGAGAGTGGCACCAGGGCAGATAATGAGTTCTCTTCAGGAGTAAATGGGACCATGTCCAGGGGCAGCCAGACACAGAGCTGGGGGCTTAGGGGAGAGATCTGGGCTTGGACAGACCTGAGACCCCTCGGCAAGTGTGGGAATGGAGGCCGTGGAGTGGCTTTCCTGAGGCAGGTACGGGGGCTGGCTGTGGTGACCACTTGGGAATGAAGAGCCCTGGTCAAGTGGGGTCACCCTGTGGTGGGGGCTGCTTGAGCTGAGAGCTGGGCAGAATCAGCGGGCCTGGTGCTGCCAGATCTGCCCCGGTCGGGGAAGAAGTTGCAAGCTGGGATTTATGTGAAATGTCTTAATTTTTAAATGTTGGCCAAGACAAGAAATATTTTAATGGTGTGAACCAAATTAAACATGTCTATAGACCAGTTTTAGACCCAGGAGGGAGAGGGAGCATCGACAGTTAACGGAGGGGCAGGCAACAGAAGCCTAGAAGGAAAGCCCGCAGTGGAGGGGCTGTCTCCAGGACTGATGGCCCTGGTGGGCTTGGTGGTTGAGGTGCCAGACCAAGGAGGAAGATGAGGA